GTTTGCAAAAGGAACGTGCCGCGTTCTCGTCTAGCAATGCCTTGCACTTCTGCCAATACTAAAACTCTCGGGACATTGGACGAGTCAGTAACCAAGAAAGTTGCTGTCGGGACGAACTCATTCACACGTGGCCACACAGGATATACAGAGATTCTATCGCGAATGCCCAGATGCCTCTTGATCCGTATTTCCACACTCTGCCCCAGCCTAAATTCCAATGAATACTTCTCACTGCGAAAATCCCATGGAAAGGCCTTGCTGTGGAACCAAAAATCAAAGTTCATCCCTCGTTCTAGGGCGATTTGCGCCAGATAGGTTTGTAACTGGTCTGGATTTCGAATCGTTTGCATCAGAACACCGTGATCACCCTCCTCTGTATCCTGGGAGAGGCTCTCCGGGGTTGCAGTGTTTTCCCCACGATATGCTCCGAATTGCGAATATTGCATCCTCACCTGGTGTAGTTCGCTGTCAAATGTGAAGCTGCCGTCATAGTTGCCTTGACACTGCGCCGTTATATTTGGGGTTGCAGTGTTTTCCCCGTATTCTTCTCTTCCTCCAGATATTTGCTGCACACAACTTGTCTCACTTGCCCATCTCCCGAATGTATGCTGTCGCGTTCCATTACTACTCTCCTTCTCTAGGCACCTCTGCCATGTATACTTCGGGGTTGCAGTGTTTTTCCCTTCATCGTGATCTACACCATGTTGAAGAGGAAGTTGTAGGCAGCTCGTGTCATCGCTGCTAGATGAGCTCAGCTCAGAGGAGTTTGAAGAGTCCGGAACAAGTCGTCTGGCAACTTCTTCTGCTTGTATGTATGGATCATAGGCATTCAATTCCATATGCGGTCCACAGTCAAGTTCTTGGATTTTCTGCCTTGACTGAAAAATCTTGATCACCGTCGCAGGAATCCATTCAACTTGAAATGACGGTTCCACCCAACGACCATCAACTTCGTAGGCACAGTCATCCCCAGCCCATGCAAGATAGCTCTGGCTGTCGAACTCAGCGACAAATTCGGACACCTGTTTGGCCTTCGTCACCAGAACAATCTGCGTCAGAGTGGAGAGGCCTTCCGGACGGTATTTGACCAAGTATGGTATTTGTCTAGGTTGGCCTTGCCTTGCCACTATCAAGAGAGGAGCTTCTTGTACCAGTTTAACTCTCCCGAGAAAACCTCTTATGGGACCCCTCAAACTTGGCGAAAGCAATGGCTCTAACCATTGTCGAAACTCACGTTCATCTGTGATGGAGTGTAGTTCACATCTGGCTAGCACATCCCGAATAACAAACCCGTCACCGGATACGACCTGTATAGTGAACGTTTGCTGAACTGTAGAGAATGCACTACGCAAACCACGCAGAATGGTATCCAGATCTGCAGAGAAGTCACGAATCGACAGATCTAATACTGTCTGCATCAGACCAATTTCATCCACTATCGCATCTCTTACTGGTGTCTGCATTCCATGACCATGAACTGCAGATTGGTCACAGGAGTCTTCATGCAGCACTAGATCAAGTCTTTGTCCATCGGCGTCTATCGGCAGAACTTCATCATCAATTGGCATTCCTCCTAATTGGAATTTGCACAAGACTCGACGACAATCCCTCTCAAGACGCAACCATCGAATCACACTCTGCTGCGTGACAGGAGAAGCAAACATTCCTGCCAGAAGAGTGTGCTTGTATGGCTCGATATGTGACCAATCCACACAAACCAGAATAGCAAAATGCCTTTCAACTGGCAGAAAAAGGATCATGTGAACATCGTCTAGTCCGAGTTGTTGATGCGGGGCAGGCTGAGGTTCCACCCACCATAACTTGGCTACATCTGCCAGTGGGAAACTTTCTGCCACTCGCAGTCTAACCCAAGGCACTAGCTGTTCCTGATTCCAAGTATTGTCCCAGACAAGACCGGCTGACTGTGGTTGGTGTCCGTCAGTAGGAATGTGTACGTGCAAGAACGTGCTTCTATATCTACGTTGCAACAGAAATTGAACTTCATCTCTAAAGTGAGTCTGTGCATTGCAACTAGTTATTGCGGCCACTCTTCGCGTGAAAATTCTCCAATAGGCACGATTCCTCTCCGAAACCGGGACTTGTCGAGAATGCAGACGCCTTTCCTGAGAGTCTCTCCCATGGCGAATGAATCTTAAGAACCTGCGAGTCTCGAAGATGGCAGTGAATTGTTCAAGGAACAGGCTATGTATCGTGAGATCGATTTGAAAGAGGCTCTGTTCTTCAGTGCTCAGCTGACTGCCATTCTGCAACAGTGTCGTTCCAAGTGAAACAGCCTTGCGCTTCCTGGAAACACCGGCACAAGAGATAGCACGGCTCAACTTACAATAAGCACCTGCTCTTGCTTCTACAATGTCCTCCCAATCAAAAATCACAAAATCATTTCCGTTCCAACAGGCCATTTGGCAATGATGATTGCAAAAGGCATCGAACTCTGTACCTAAGAAAATGTCACGAACCTTTGAGTTTCTCTCAGCCCAGACTCCACATCGCACCGTGATGTGCGCCATGACGTCCACCAAGAAAGGTCTTGCATGAATCAAATCATCTTCTCTGGGAATGATGAGCAGTTCCGGACCTTCTTGCGTATTGGAATGCATCTGTGCCATAAAGACAGTGACGAAGCTATTATCTCCCCTTGGGAGCCATGCAGCTAGCAATGCATTCTGCCAATTGAGAGCTTTATAGCAACTGATTCTTCTTGGTGTCTTATTGATTCTGTGCCACCTAGATACGAAATATGTGTCAAGCACCAAAGGATCCACCTCTGGTAGTCGTACAGCAGACTCGGTCAGGAATGCCCTCAGGAAGTCTCCGACCTCTGCTTCACGTCCTAAAACCACTGCTCCGTGCACTGCTGCAAGATGCGATTGGAAGTCTTGAGTTCCACTTTCGCTTTCTTGTAGAATTGGACCGAGATCACTCGCCTCTGACCTTTCCATTAGCGACATGACCTCGTGTTCTGCTTCGTGGTGGACTGTATTATCCTTTTTCCTTGTAGGTTGGATGTCAGAAGACAAAGCATAAGTCTCGGCGTGGATCCTAGCTCTCACACCTACAAAATCCAAGCAAAGGAAGATCAAGACTATTGCTTTCATCTGCCTTCTATTGATTCTATGATACCTATGTGATCGAGGTGCAGTTGGCTTTTTGGCTACTCTAAACTGACACCAAGTTTCCCAACATGCATAAATTCCGGACCCGAATAAGGCAATTAGTTCAAGACAGCAGAAGAGCAGTGCTTGTGCGATAACCTCATCTGCGAAGTCGTCGACATGACACTGCTCCCACCTAGAATCATTGACCCTTGAATGCTTCTCGAACGAACTAATTACTGGCCTTTCAAGTCTGGCAAGACATTGGGAAAAATCGGAGGCACGAAGTAGCACAGAAAGCCTGGAAATGCTTCTTAGGCGTTCCCATCTTTGCACTTCTCCATTATCGATATCTCTGGCTGTTTGTAGAAAAGGGCGGCAAAATGAGCCTTCACTCCAGCAGTTATAACTATCCGTCCGAAGGCATGCCTTCAAAAATGGCGCCAACGGACCATTCTGACAACAATCAGCTACATGAGAGCATCCCCATTCTTCATGGCTGAATATCACTTGGCCTCTGCTGGATCTACATCTGCCTTTTCCCCTTTTTCCTTCTTCTCCACAGCCTGCTTCAAGTGAGTCTGCCTGACTCCCTTGGGAGGCGATGCAGCACTTGCAGCTTTGCCCTGTCGAGGAATGGCTCTTCGAAATGCCCTCAGAGCAACTGCTGGTTCTGCAGTTTTGTCTGCAACCAGCTCTTCCTCCATGTCTTCTTGCATTTCGTCGTCGTCTATGAGCTCCGATTCCTCGATCTTGCCAAGCATCTTCTGCATCTCCTCGAGAGTGGGAATTGCATCCCCCTCGTCTTCCACACTGATATTTGTCCTTAGTGCAGAAGCTACATGCTTCACCTGCGTCCTCAGCAAACTCAAATTCTCTGTTGCCTCGACAAGTGCAGCTTTGGCCTTCTCTCTGTCCCGTTGATAAACTGCCCATCGCTCTTGCATGCTGTTCTTCGCTTTTAATGCAAAGGCCTGCCAGTCTTTGTCGACTTTTTGCACTTCCTGTTTGCAGAGCTCCACCTGCTTTTGGGCCTTCCCAAGTTTGGAAAGATGCCCATGTGTCAGGCGAGGACTCGATTCTCCTCTCTGCTCCAGGGTTTGAATCTCCTTTGCCAAGCTCGAAGTTGCTGCAGTCCCATAGTAGCTTCTGATAGCTGCCAGGTGTTGCTGAATATCCACTGTGGCGGCATTGCTTTCTACCCCACCTGGAGGAGCAGGCGGTGGTGGTAGTCTCGGCGAGGGTGGCAATGCTGGCGTGGTCTGCGATCTCCCCTTGCTCTTGGCTTCCTTCCTGGGCGGAGGCGTAAAAGGATCTTGCTCTTTCCGCTTTTGAGACTTCGATCGATCTCGCTTCCAGTCTACTGCCGTATAGTGCTCTCCGCAGTAGAGACAATAGAGAGCTTTGGGGGCATTCTTCTGACCACACTGGCAAATCCACCTGAGAGGCATTGTGGATATTTGGCCTGGCAAGGAACTGCCGTGATGAGAGGCAACTCTGATGGTCGCCTTTCTCAAGCGATGGGGTGGTATCTTGCTGCCTGAGATCCAGGCACGCAAGGTCCTTCTTGCAGCTTTCCTCTTTCTCCGCTTGTTGCGGTGCCACGTAGGTTCCCTGTAGGATTTCGTAGTCACCAAATCTCAAAGCAGAGCAAATGAGGGCAAAGATAAAGGCCACCACGACGGGTCGAACCGCCGCAACCATGAACGGTCACCGCGGCCCTGAGGCTACCGGCTAAAATTAACCCAACACCGGAGGGGACACTTCCGGTGAAAGGTCGGAGCCGAACCTTTTAGCACACACTATTATAAGCAAAATCGGCTGAATCCACTGCTGACGCTGCACTGTATAAAAATTAGCTGACTTCAATCTGATTTAGCACTGCTCCTGCCGCTCTGCTTTGCCAACCTCCACCTGCAAAGTGCAATGGTGGAGGTGGTGCAAAAATTGTGTGTATATAAACTGCAAACTGCACACCAATGATGTCCGCAGCAAGACAGACATGTCTGTAACACTGTAACACACACATATAATATGAGAGCGGGTGGTCATGGGGCCTGGGTTTTCAAAATTTTAAGTACATACTTCAGTGGCAGCCCCTCTCCATATAAACACACATAAAATCTATTCCTGCTCTCTCTATATGAACAAATATATTATGTATTCCTGAGTCGGGGTCATTTTATTGTTTTGGAAGCAGCAATCAGTCATTCAGATGGTTTTGAACAAGATAATTAGGAAAGAAGCAGGCCACAAAAGTGTTTATTTTAACAATTGTCCTCTAGATCTCTGCTTATAATTATGTTTAGATTTGGAAAGATTGTATATAGACGCTTTTATGTTATAAAAGATTCTCTATAGATCTCTGCAAATAATCATTTTTAGATTTAAACAACTATATAGAAACCTTGTATGTTAAAACGTTCTTCTAGATTTCTGCGGGTAAGAACTTGCATGTTCAAAGTTTTCCTCTGGATCTTTGGGAAAGTAGATATCCCATATATGTGTGTTTTCATGAAAGGAAAGCTCTTGAAAGAAAAACTTTGACATGACCATTTCCAGAGATCCAGAGGAAAACTTTTGACATGAAAGCTTTTACATAGTTTTATTGTAGACATGATCACCCCCAAAGATCTAGAGGGAAGCTCTTGAATTAAAAGTTTGTGCATAAAACAGGTTTAATATGTCTATATTATTTCCCGTGGTTACTGTAAATAAATAGATCTAACTATGTACTCCAAAAAAGAGTTTTAGTCTTGTTCCCAGCGCTCCCAGGGCAAAAAAATATGTAAAACACGGGGTTTTGTAGCATGTGTTTTCTTAAACTAAATAGACTAGAGCTAGAATAGAATTAGGTAGAGCTAAGTTGGATTTGAGTTAGAGCTAAGATAGAACTTAGTTAAAGCCGAATTTCAACTAAACTTGTATTGAACTATAACTATAGCCTATTTAAAATTAGATGAAAGTTGAATTAGAAAGGAATTGGAATCACAATTAGAAGTTCGCCAGAATAAGATGTAAAACGCTTGAGCTACAATATGCACAAGTCGAGGAGGCTTCGAAATTACAAAGCCGAAGCAAATGCAACAAGCATTGAATTAGAACTACAGGGTGCGCCGTGTGTAGATGGCCGTATGGCTTTCTGGCCATTGCACGGGGAATTGACATGTATTTGTCGGATTTATGTTGGAAACTCTATTGGTGAAAGCAAGTGCATGATCTGGCGAATGAATCATCATGTTTTTTGGTTTTTTTTGGTGGTCTCGAAAAACTGATTCGTTTCGGGATCTCCCAACGCCTTTTTCAAAGAATATCCAATGGAAAATCTCCAAGAGACGGGAACAGTCGTTGAAGATACATCTGTATTGCCAAGAGTCACACGCCTGAGATCATTAGATAACGAAAATCACTTACCCTTGCAAATCAAGGTACCTTCGCTTATTGGTGAAGCTGTGCGCTTGCAAATGCTGCCGCCAACCCACGAAAGCCATGGGGGAACAACGTTGGCTCAACACTATTAAGTATTAAGGCTCCAAGAACTTTCAAAGGCTGTGCTTTTGTTTCGAAGAGGCTCTGGTACACTGCTTCCCACAAACACCAAAGAAATTCCCCGTACCTGATCAAACTGTCAAAATCACACGACCACCGTTCCTGTGGTAAAGAAACCCAAAGTGTGAAAGAAACCAATTCATCCGATCCCCTTGTTTAAAAGTTCACTCCAAACAGACGTGAAACCATCTAATAGAAAGGTCCCTTTCTATGAACCAGCAACGAAACTCGACTCATCAAAACGTTAGGGTGACCAAAGCTCTTGCAGCCCTCCAAAAAGTGGGTCAGCTCCCCTTAGCTCCCGACCAGAAGGCAGTGTTCATCCAAAGTGTTGTTCATTCGGTCTGGGTTCATGGCATTGAAACTCAAGGAATAAGCCAGGGATCAATTTCCAAGCTTCGGTCACAGATTGCGAAAGTTATGTCTCCTTCTAAGACAAAGATTCGATCCCCTTTTTTGGTTCTGGCCACCCAAAAGGACCCCTTTCTGGACCCAATCGCCAAGTGGACATTACAAGTCTTCCGATTCTTGCGGAAAGCAGCGCGGACCAATCGTCAGCTTGTGCAGAAAGCCCTCGAGTGGGCTCAAACAAACCCCTCTGTAAGGTATTCTGCTGTTACTGGATTTGCTCAGGTTCTCGCGTTTTTATGTGCCGAATTGCAGTGGGAAGTTCTTGACCCCCAACAGTTTGTGTTCAAATCCTTTGGGGAAACCTGGCTTTTGACCCATTACAGTGATTCCTTTTTCACTGAGTGTTTGGCCGATAGGCTGCGGACCTATCTGGTTAGAAAGATGCCAAAGCGTGCTGAAGGGGAGCTTCATGACGACTCTTTATTGGTTGACTCTTTCTTGACCCGGTTTCTGTTGGACTCCCCCTTTAGTAATCATGAAGAGTTCCGTTTTCTCCAAGCACATCTTTCTCACAGTTTGCAGGACTTTAGACACGCCCAGAACTTGTTAAAATCTGCCTTATGTGGGAAAATTCTCACCGGCCCTCGACTCCGCGCAGCCGCACTTCGAACCCATGATCAGTGTTCTCTTTGCGAAGTTCCAGATACCCATGATCATATTTTTGGTGACTGCCCCCTACATGAAGACACCCGCCCATCAAACTACGATACGGTGCCTCGGCTTTCCCGTAATACTGGTATTGTTTTCGCAAGGCCAACTCCCCCAGACCACCTGGCCCCGACCATGAGAGCGTTGCTGGGCGGTTACCATCGCCCCCGATTGAATCAAGTTCCCTAGTCTTCACGGACGGTAGCTGTTTTTCTCACAAGTGGCGTCACGCTCGGGTTGCGGCTAGTGCGGTATACATACCTGCCCAATTTAGTTTTGCCACTCTCTTGCCTGGTGTTGACCAAACTTCCCAACGAGCTGAACTCTACGCAGTTTTGTTGGCCCTACTGGCTACGCCGGAGATGTTGTGATCGCTTCCGACTGTCAAAATGTTGTCGCCGGCTTTCGCCTTCTTGAACAAGTTCACTTTCGGTTGCTCAAGGCTGAGTGCTTGGACAATCGGGATTTGTGGGCTTTAATCTGCACTCACGTTCGCAACCGATCCGGCCAGGTTGAAATAATCAAAGTTAAGGCCCACTGCCGTGTTGGTGATTTACAACAGCCGGATCACTGGACTCGTGGAAACTCTGAGGCCGACAGGCTGGCAAAATGTTGTGCCAAAGAGTGTTGGGAATCTCGCCAGCTTGAGCGAGACGATGCCGTGTCAGCAGCTGTCGCCACTCATGTTCACATCATCTCGACTTTGCGCCGTCGATTTTCGACAGTATTGCCAAACGAAAGTCAGAATGCGTACGAAGAAAACGTAGTGTTTCCCCATCTTTCCAAAACATACGCGCGCACCTGCGCCCCCCGAACCCGTTTGCGCGGGAAACAAAACGTTTGCACGTGTCAGCCTCAATCGGTAATTGTCGCAAAGCCCGAACATCAATTTGTACAGGCCTGTTTGAACCAGACACTGACTCCACAGCATATTGACGATATCAAGCATCATTACCCGATTTTCACTCTGGCTTTTGCCGCTGACCCTCGAAATCGGAAACTCCATGTTGACATCACACCTGACAGGCTTGCCAAGTGTCAACGTCGTTTGACTGTGGGTTTAGCTCGAGACTTATTGATGTTTGTGACTCGGACAGAATGGCTGATATCCTCAGAACCGGAAGGACCCCGCGTCCCATGGCTGTTGCTTTTCCTCGCTTTCTGTAGTCACTCTCCGACTGTACATACCCACTTCGTGCAGTGTAAGTCACTGCATGCTTCCGTATGCATGTTTAGATCTGCCCTTGGATGGATTTGGAAGTTGCAAGGCATTAACGTCCTCAGTGCTAAGCACATCTCTTCTTTGCAGGAGTTCGGCCTAGGAAGGTTTAGCGGATTCTGTGGCTCTGTCACTTTCGTCAATCCTGTCCCTATCTGGTTCTTCCTTGTCCGTTTCGCGATCGCTCGTAACTCTGGGGAACCCCCTGATTGTGAGTTTGCTTCCATTCACAAATATCACCTGGATTAGTTGATGCTCCGCGCTCTCCCGTTTTGCTGCTGGCTGTGATCCTGCATGGTACCTCAGCCTCAAGATGCAGAGAAAAAAGAAAGGATCAACAACAAACCAAGGTTTCAAAACCGACGGAAGTTCATCCAGAGCACGAAACCCACTGATTCTCAAATATTCTCAAAAGAAGAACACAAGTCAAAGAACGAAACAAAACAAACAAAGAAGTCAACAACATTGCTTCGAGCCAAGTCTAAAGCAGCGTGATTTCACAACCACAGAGAACAGAAGCAGTTAACAAGCAACCTTCTTTAGAAACATGTCATAACCTGCCCGCCTCCTATTCAACACAATGCATCATCTGAGTTTACAATGAACAACGAACGTCATCATGCCCACCCCCATGGTTACAATGTGCATCATCCACCGAAGAACATCATCTTAGTTGACAATCAACCAAGAAGGTCACAAAATGACAAAAAGTGGCCGAAGACGTACGACCATCTACGCCCGCCCAACCAACTACAGCTTACACAGATTCATAACAGTGTCATGTAAATTGGAAGGTGTCATTACAGTTTCATCTCAAGCTGATTGGACATGCAATTGGCAACCACATTGGTACCAATCAGAAGTTAATGCACAGACTTGTACATGGAGATTTCGACAAACGAAGTGTTGGGCTCAGACGCTTTCATTGTAAGAGCAAAGAACATATGGCTTTAGGTGAGACTTAGGCTCACATGCTTGAAGGTTGAACGAAATAGTAATAACACAGACTGACCTAAATAGGAAAACCCAAAAAAAAACTTGAGAAAAACAATAACTTAGGAGAAACCAAACAAACCAAAAAACCTTG